TTTGGGTTTAAGCATTCATATTAAAAATGAAGCATTCTGCACTTTGGGCTTAAGCGTTTGCATCAAAACTGAAGTATACATTGGGTTTAAGCATTCACATTAAAACTGAAGCATACGTTGGGTTTAAGCGTTCATATTAAAACTGAAGCATACTGTACTTTGGGCTTAAGCGTTTGCATCAAAACTAAAGTATACTTTGGGTTTAAGCATTCATATTAAAACTGAACCATACGTTGGGTTTAAGCGTTCATATTAAAACTGAAGCATACTGTACTTTGGGCTTAAGCGTTTGCATCAAAACTAAAGTATACTTTGGGTTTAAGCATTCATATTAAAACTGAACCATACGTTGGGTTTAAGCGTTCATATTAAAACTGAAGCATACTGTACTTTGGGCTTAAGCGTTTGCATCAAAACTAAAGTATACTTTGGGTTTAAGCATTCATATTAAAACTGAACCATACGTTGGGTTTAAGCGTTCATATTAAAACTGAAGCATACTGTACTTTGGGCTTAAGCGTTTGCATCAAAACTAAAGTATACTTTGGGTTTAAGCATTCATATTAAAACTGAACCATACGTTGGGTTTAAGCGTTCATATTAAAACTGAAGCATACTGTACTTTGGGCTTAAGCGTTTGCATCAAAACTAAAGTATACTTTGGGTTTAAGCATTCATATTAAAACTGAACCATACGTTGGGTTTAAGCGTTCATATTAAAACTGAAGCATACTGTACTTTGGGCTTAAGCGTTTGCATCAAAACTAAAGTATACTTTGGGTTTAAGCATTCATATTAAAACTGAACCATACGTTGGGTTTAAGCGTTCATATTAAAACTGAAGCATACTGTACTTTGGGCTTAAGCGTTTGCATCAAAACTAAAGTATACTTTGGGTTTAAGCATTCATATTAAAACTGAACCATACGTTGGGTTTAAGCGTTCATATTAAAACTGAAGCATACTGTACTTTGGGCTTAAGCGTTTGCATCAAAACTAAAGTATACTTTGGGTTTAAGCATTCATATTAAAACTGAACCATACGTTGGGTTTAAGCGTTCATATTAAAACTGAAGCATACTGTACTTTGGGCTTAAGCGTTTGCATCAAAACTAAAGTATACTTTGGGTTTAAGCATTCATATTAAAACTGAACCATACGTTGGGTTTAAGCGTTCATATTAAAACTGAAGCATACTGTACTTTGGGCTTAAGCGTTTGCATCAAAACTAAAGTATACTTTGGGTTTAAGCATTCATATTAAAACTGAACCATACGTTGGGTTTAAGCGTTCATATTAAAACTGAAGCATACTGTACTTTGGGCTTAAGCGTTTGCATCAAAACTAAAGTATACTTTGGGTTTAAGCATTCATATTAAAACTGAACCATACGTTGGGTTTAAGCGTTCATATTAAAACTGAAGCATACTGTACTTTGGGCTTAAGCGTTTGCATCAAAACTAAAGTATACTTTGGGTTTAAGCATTCATATTAAAACTGAACCATACGTTGGGTTTAAGCGTTCATATTAAAACTGAAGCATACTGTACTTTGGGCTTAAGCGTTTGCATCAAAACTAAAGTATACTTTGGGTTTAAGCATTCATATTAAAACTGAACCATACGTTGGGTTTAAGCGTTCATATTAAAACTGAAGCATACTGTACTTTGGGCTTAAGCGTTTGCATCAAAACTAAAGTATACTTTGGGTTTAAGCATTCATATTAAAACTGAACCATACGTTGGGTTTAAGCGTTCATATTAAAACTGAAGCATACTGTACTTTGGGCTTAAGCGTTTGCATCAAAACTAAAGTATACTTTGGGTTTAAGCATTCATATTAAAACTGAACCATACGTTGGGTTTAAGCGTTCATATTAAAACTGAAGCATACTGTACTTTGGGCTTAAGCGTTTGCATCAAAACTAAAGTATACTTTGGGTTTAAGCATTCATATTAAAACTGAACCATACGTTGGGTTTAAGCGTTCATATTAAAACTGAAGCATACTGTACTTTGGGCTTAAGCGTTTGCATCAAAACTAAAGTATACTTTGGGTTTAAGCATTCATATTAAAACTGAACCATACGTTGGGTTTAAGCGTTCATATTAAAACTGAAGCATACTGTACTTTGGGCTTAAGCGTTTGCATCAAAACTAAAGTATACTTTGGGTTTAAGCATTCATATTAAAACTGAACCATACGTTGGGTTTAAGCGTTCATATTAAAACTGAAGCATACTGTACTTTGGGCTTAAGCGTTTGCATCAAAACTAAAGTATACTTTGGGTTTAAGCATTCATATTAAAACTGAACCATACGTTGGGTTTAAGCGTTCATATTAAAACTGAAGCATACTGTACTTTGGGCTTAAGCGTTTGCATCAAAACTAAAGTATACTTTGGGTTTAAGCATTCATATTAAAACTGAACCATACGTTGGGTTTAAGCGTTCATATTAAAACTGAAGCATACTGTACTTTGGGCTTAAGCGTTTGCATCAAAACTAAAGTATACTTTGGGTTTAAGCATTCATATTAAAACTGAACCATACGTTGGGTTTAAGCGTTCATATTAAAACTGAAGCATACTGTACTTTGGGCTTAAGCGTTTGCATCAAAACTAAAGTATACTTTGGGTTTAAGCATTCATATTAAAACTGAACCATACGTTGGGTTTAAGCGTTCATATTAAAACTGAAGCATACTGTACTTTGGGCTTAAGCGTTTGCATCAAAACTAAAGTATACTTTGGGTTTAAGCATTCATATTAAAACTGAACCATACGTTGGGTTTAAGCGTTCATATTAAAACTGAAGCATACTGTACTTTGGGCTTAAGCGTTTGCATCAAAACTAAAGTATACTTTGGGTTTAAGCATTCATATTAAAACTGAACCATACGTTGGGTTTAAGCGTTCATATTAAAACTGAAGCATACTGTACTTTGGGCTTAAGCGTTTGCATCAAAACTAAAGTATACTTTGGGTTTAAGCATTCATATTAAAACTGAACCATACGTTGGGTTTAAGCGTTCATATTAAAACTGAAGCATACTGTACTTTGGGCTTAAGCGTTTGCATCAAAACTAAAGTATACTTTGGGTTTAAGCATTCATATTAAAACTGAACCATACGTTGGGTTTAAGCGTTCATATTAAAACTGAAGCATACTGTACTTTGGGCTTAAGCGTTTGCATCAAAACTAAAGTATACTTTGGGTTTAAGCATTCATATTAAAACTGAACCATACGTTGGGTTTAAGCGTTCATATTAAAACTGAAGCATACTGTACTTTGGGCTTAAGCGTTTGCATCAAAACTAAAGTATACTTTGGGTTTAAGCATTCATATTAAAACTGAACCATACGTTGGGTTTAAGCGTTCATATTAAAACTGAAGCATACTGTACTTTGGGCTTAAGCGTTTGCATCAAAACTAAAGTATACTTTGGGTTTAAGCATTCATATTAAAACTGAACCATACGTTGGGTTTAAGCGTTCATATTAAAACTGAAGCATACTGTACTTTGGGCTTAAGCGTTTGCATCAAAACTAAAGTATACTTTGGGTTTAAGCATTCACATTAAAACTGAAGCATACGTTGGGTTTAAGCGTTCATATTAAAACTGAAGCATTCTGTACTTTGGGCTTAAGCGTTTGCATCAAAACTGAAGTATACTTTGGGTTTAAGCATTCACAATAAAACTGAAGCATACTTTGGGTTTAAGCGTTCACATTAAAACTGAAGCCTACTTTGGGTTTAAGCATTCATATTAAAATTGAAGCATTCTGTACTTTGGGCTTAAGTGTTTGCATCAAAACTGAAGTATACATTGGGTTTAAGCATTCACATTAAAACTGAAGCATACTTTGGGCTTAAGCGTTTGCATCAAAACTGCAGTATACATTGGGTTTAAGTGTTCACATTAAAACTGAAGCATACTTTGGGCTTAACGTTCATATTAAAACTGAAGCATACTGTACTTTCGGTTTAAGCGTTCACATTAAAACTGAAGCATACTTTGGGTTTAAGCATGCATATTAAAACTGAAACATACTTTGGGTTTAAGCATTCATATTAAAACTGAAGCATACTTTGGGCTTAAGCATTTGCATCAAAACTGCAGTATACTTTGGGTTTAAGCTTTCAGATTAAAAATGAAGCATACTTTGGGCTGAAGCATTCACATTAAAACTGAAGCATACTTTGGGCTTAAGCAGTTGCATCAAAACTAAAGTATACTTTGGGTTTAAGCTTTCAGATTAAAAATAAAGCATACTTTGGGCTTAAGCGTTCACATTAAAACTGAAGCATACTTTGGGCTTAAGCATTTGCATCAAAACTGCAGTATACTTTGGGTTTAAGCTTTCAGATTAAAAATGAAGCATACTTTGGGCTGAAGCATTCACATTAAAACTGAAGCATACTTTGGGCTTAAGCAGTTGCATCAAAACTAAAGTATACTTTGGGTTTAAGCTTTCAGATTAAAAATAAAGCATACTTTGGGCTTAAGCGTTCACATTAAAACTGAAGCATACTTTGGGCTTAAGCATTTGCATCAAAACTAAAGTAAACTTTGGGTTTACACATTCACATTAAAACTGAAGCATACTTTAGGTTTAAGCGTTCACACGAAAACTGAAGCATATATTGGCTTAAGCATTTGCAACAAAAATTTTTTTGTTTTTTTTGCAAATCTGTTTTTTTGTGACTAGAAATTTCACATTGCACCTTCAAGTACCAAAATAAAATTATTACTCTACCCTAATAAAAAAAGACAGACAGATTCAGTTAGTGCACTATTTTGCAGCAACCTGATCTTGAGCTGTCTGTGCATTGTAAGGCATGTTCAGAACAGGCTCTACAGTGTTTCAGGTCTTTTCTATCACACATGTACTGAGAGATTTCTTTGCTCCCACCCTCCTCTGTCTCAACCCTCTCCCTGTCCTCACTTCTCCCACTCTGTTTTCTCTCTGTGCCTCGTCCCCTCTGTTCCCGTGTAGATGCGGGTGGTGAAAGCGTTCCGTAGCTCCCTTTACGACGGAATCGAGAAACCTGCGTCCAGGAATTCCATCCACAACTTCATGGCGCACCCCGAGTTTCTCATCAATGACTTCATCCACAACATCCCGCTGATCGACGACACCGACATTGACGATGAATCGGAGTGGTCGAGGCACAACCACCACTTGCATCCGGCCTTCCGAAAGCCCCCTCCTCCTCCGGTCCAGCATCCGCAGCGTTCCCGCCCACCGCCCCGTCCCTACCGCCAGTACAGCCTCCCCACCACGCCTAACCGCAACAACAATGCCATCGAGAGTGGCGTCTACCACCTGAACCTCCCCACAGGCCCAGACGGGCACTGGACAACCCCCTCTCGACAGCTGTACCCCCTCCTCGCCCTGGAGACCTCTCTATGACTGGCCGCGCTCCAGAGGATAAGACCCTAAGAACTCTGAGGATGCGGACCTGTGTGGGTCAGGCTGGTGGGGGAGGCTCCTACGGACACGTTGAAGGTGGTTGACCCCCAACACTAAGACAGGGTCATCCCAATCATTTGCCCACTACCACCATCCACCGAAAGCACTATAACTCCTCACTATAACAGCCCCACAGACACCTCTACTCTCACCGTGTGGAGAGGAGGCCAGTCTGCTGCATGTCAGTCTGCTGCATGTCTGTGGTTCCTTTGGACGGACCTGAGAAGGTGAGGAATCCAGACCCGATGGACTCTTTAGTGCTGGTGACTATTGACTTCTCAGAATGCAAAGGAATATGTTCCCTACGGGTGGAGTAGGGGTCCATTCACTTTACTTTTTATCGGTGTTACTAAACTCAATATTATTATTATCATGTTTGACTTCTTACTATCGCCACCGTCATCCTGAGTGTTCGGATTATCATTGCGATATCACAGAAAATGACATTTATTACTCTGAGTAATGCTTTATGGATTAGCTTTAAAACATTTTATTTATTTATTTATTATTTATTCATTTATTTATTGTGATCACCCAGATTTTTTTTCATTTTCACTTTGCCTATCTCTCGCTCTCTCTCTCTCTATGTGTGTGTGTGTGTTGTGTCTGTCCTAAAAGCATAAAAAAGCTAGAAAAAAGAAGTACTAACAAAGCAAAGATAATATTAATTTGAAGCTTAGACTAATTCAATTATAATGCGTCTGCTGATAACAAAAAGAAGATAAAAACGTCGCCGCACCATTTTAACGATCATTGTTTACAGCAAAAAAATAATATTATTTTAGAGAAATTTGTAGCTTCACTCTAAGTGAGAGTAAGCATTTTTAAACACAGAAATCATGCTCATGATATTTTAAACATTTACGCAACATGTTCATGTTTAAAATATACTACAGGGTAGAGGATTTGGGCAATCCCATCACAGCAATTCAATGATCGTGGGTGGGATTTCGGTGGTTTTCCATCTCAGCAATGGAAATCAGCCTTACGACAAAATAACCTTGTTAATATGTTATACCTTGTTCAAAGTAGCTGAAATTGGATTTAAGGATTTCAGTGGGTTTGCCCAGACTCCACATTTAATGGTGTCTTATATTTCTTTCACATAAAAGCCATTAAAATTCATGTTGTGTAGATGACACCAACAAATGCATCAACCCTTTAAACATGTTCAAATAATTATATTTACTCAGTACATGCATATCTGCTGGCCCTTTAAATACATACTTGCTTTCCTCGTGTGTGTGAAATATTGATCAGATTGTGAATATCTGCAGACTGTGGTCCCCAGGGTAGGGAATCCATTTTATACTGCCACACAATAGTTAAAAGAAATATCAAAGATACTAAAGATGGACAATCCATGAGGGTATCATTACTTTTGCACATTATCGAGGTTCACCGTGGACTTTGATAGACACACTGTCTGGCTATTGGTCTATATTTTAGCAATTCAGAACAACAGAACAGTAATCCCTATTATATATGTAAAGACATGCATGATTCTCCATGTCAGATGATAGTGTGTTTGATTCAGTTACATTCCATTGACGTTCCACTGATCAGTTGTATCATCCGGGGTTACCTCCTTTTACACCCCATAATCGTCTGGAATGGTACCGTTACTATCATACCACTTCAGTCGATGCATTGCAATTTATTACAATCATTTTGGGGAATGAGACCGGCACTTATGCAACAGACTGCCCTGCCCACAGCTCTGTGAAATATGCTTCACGACATGTACATATGGATCTCGAGAAAAAAAAACTTTATCTGTATAGAATACTTTTCTAGATTGTCCAGTTCAAAGAAACTGGCGAATATTGAAAGCAGACAATGCAAACATGAGCGCCACTAGATCATGTCATTGCATTGGTCGGTCGTGTCTTTGCGGAGCATGTTGATATCATATTGCTTGCTTTACACCGTCATTGTTTGACTTCACGTTTGTCTGTTGATGCTTCACTGTGGCTCTTAAGTGGTTGGTGGACACACGTTTCTCCTGCCAGCGCATCTGTGCTGTCATTAATGTGCTATAGTCCATGCTGATGTTCTCCTCCTGATACTCTGCCCTGTCTGTGGCGTGGAGCCTGGAGGTGGAGCAGTGTTGCACTGCCAATCTGACTACTTGTTATATGCCAACAAACACATTGCCTAAAATGGGTTGACTTGTTCTACGACTAGCAGAATGTTTTGTCGTTGCATCTTTAAATGGAAACCCATTTTTAAAGGAATATTCTGGGTTCAGTCCCTGCTTTTGTTTAAAAAAATCCAAAACCTGGGGGATACAGCAAGGCTTACAATGGAAGTGAATGGGGCCAATCCGTAAACATTAAAATACTCATTGTTTCAATAGTATAGCCAGAAGATGCAAAGAGTATGAATGTCAACATGTGAAAAATGGCTTGCTAACCTTTTCTGTGTAAAATCAAATCCAAATGAACAACTTTTGCCATGATGATGCAACAGCATAGACCATAAAACCCTAAAATGATTGTAAAAATGATTGTTTAAATAGTTTTACAGGTCAAATAATACACATTTTAACAATAGAATTAATGCAAGTGCAATGTTTCTGATTATAATTGTCACATTTTTGCTTTTAAATCCTTCAAAAACCATTCAATTTCATTGTAGGTGCCTCATCGCAACCTTGATTTTTGCTACTTAATTTATTATCAATAATATTATCAATAATTGTCTCTCATTTTCTTTTAAAAGTTTTCATTTAAAAGTATTTCTTGTGGTAATCAACATTATGTCACAAATGCTTCACATGCATTGAACCCGGAATATTCCTTCAAGCAAAACTGTGTTATATCTGCACGAGTGTGTCCGACCTTTCGCTGGGTTCGATCGGGCTCAGACAGTTCCAGTGGAGTCTCTAGTGTCGAGAGCGCTGGCAGGTCTCACAGACTGAACCCATTTAAAGGCCCAGACACAGTCAGCAGGCCAAAGTGGTGGTCAGGGAGGATAGGTCAGTGAACCTGCTATACCATAATAAAGAAACATTTCCTAACCTTATCTTATCCTCAGCAAAGCGTAACTACCAAAATAGGCCTCAAGCTATGCTCGTCTCTTAATAATTTTTCAATCTAACAACTATATCTACGACGTATACCCCGATCATTGAACTCTCCAGACAGTGATGATATTTATTACAGTGGCATATGTATGGTATCCCTCCTCTCCACCACAACAGACAGCCACTTTATCAAGACTCCTGATAGAGTGACAAATATACATACGCATATATATATTTAAAAAACAACAACAAAAAAAAACAGATAATCCAAAACTCCATCGTCTGCCTTCATTTTGTTTCATTCTGTTGTAGAAAAATCATGCAAGGTAAGGTGAAAAAATGTAATGTGAAAAAGAGTAAATAATATACTATATTTAATATAAAAGTTATCAATTATTGTACAACTGCACCATTACTGTACAGTTTGCCAAAATGTGCACATGTGCATCTTTTGTTTACAATTTAAGCACTTTTTTTTTTGTTTTACTCTATTGTCTATTCTTCTTTCTTTCTCCTTTTGCTTTTTTGTAAAGAATTAAAATTGAACAGCTTGTACATTTTTCTGATTACTATTATTATTATTATTATTATTATTATTATTATTGTTGTCTTTTTCCATCAGTGCTCTTTTAGCTGATGGAAAAAAACAGTTGCACATTCTCCTGAACATACACTTACTGCTCTACAATAGAAAAAAAAGAGAAAAAAATTCAACTATTAAATATATTAATAATTACCTGCCTGTTACTTAAGAGAAAAAAGTATCTATCTGTGATGAAAGAACACAGCTGTATACTGTAGACAATACTGTATGGAAATCTAAGAATTTAATGGGAAAATAAGTCAACACTTTTTGTCTGTATAAAAAAATCAAATCAAAGTATTCTACAATAATAACTTTGACCAGTGTCTGTGGTTGTGTTTTATTGTGTGCCTGTGATTATTTCTTCTGCCTGATGACATTGCTTCACAAACTGCCAGAACACCTTCCCTTAAAGGAAATCTTTTTTTGGAAAGATGAAGTAATTCTGGTTATCATTTTGGGATGGGCAACAAGGTGTCCAATACTTTTGCATCACATATTGTCAAACTTCGTATTCTGTACATAGTTTGTTCTGGTTCTCATTGCAGGTTACTCTGGTCAGGAACTGCCCACTTAGACTGGAAGAGAACATGTGACTTACATGTGAAGTGATTAACTATAATTTTTACATGCCATTTATCTGAATTAAATGATGCCAATGGGAGACAAGGTTAATGTAACTGTCTTGCTTCCCATGATGGAGCTCTGCTTAATAAGAATATATAATATTTACTATTTGGAGCTGGGATGGTGCAGGGATGCTGGATGAATTGTCATGGAATGAGGTAAGTGAGCATTAGTGAGCAGTCCCCTGGCTTGGCTGGAGCAAAACATCCTGGGAGTACACAATTTACATTCATAGTTTGTTTCAAGTCAAATTGCTGATAAATACATAAAAAGATCATTACAAAAGATAAAATTGTTTTATGTTATTATACTTGGTTTTTGTTATTTGGTAATGGCTTGGTAGATGAGTTTAAAAAAATATCTAGATGTTTTGTTGTGTCAATAGAATACATGAGGTGAGTAATCACTGTGTAAACAAGACTTAGGTTTTAACAACATGTGTTGACTTAAAAACCTGTAATTAAAGGAACGCTGATGTAATTACCACACCTTCTGACGTAACTATGTGAACTACTGAAAGAGTCCCTGAACGAATCATAGCGACTCTTTTTAGTGAAAGTAAACAAAAGATTCGAGTCACTGGGATGAATCAGTCCTCACTACTACTAATACGCTTACAACCAGCAAACATTGGGCAGAGCTGAAGGTGCAATCAGTTGTTTATGTTTTAGTGAAGAAATCATTCATTTCTCACGCAGTTTTTGTATTCGTGAGCTTCTCGAATGCTTCTTTTAAATACCTAGTCCAACTAAGCAAAATCTTCAAAGCTAAGCATCTGTCTCTATGGAGGAGAAACAACCTCTCAATGAATCAGGAACGGTAGAGGTAACGTTTTTCTTGATGTTTGATGCTTTTTATTAAACAAACGGAAAAAGTTCAATTTCAAAACACTTAACTGTTTTACCGCTAAAAGGATAAAATGGAGACGTGCTGTGTTATTTATCTTAAAGGGATAACTATAGGTGGTCATAAAATGGTTTATATTCTGTATTATTCGTTCTTATCACTTTATTTACAGGTTTATCGATTAGTCAACCTATATTCAGTTTTACAAAATATTGTAATAAACATCTATTAGAGTGCATTTAGCATGTAAAAGAGGAATTAAACCAGTTCTGTTTTGTAACTATAAATAGCATATTAGGGAGTGTACATATTGGCTTCTCTTACATAATGTAACGTTAGGTTTGAAAGAACTGGAGAACACCCTTCATCACCACCCAAAACTGCTATGCTGACTGACAGACACACAACTGCAGTCTT